CAAACCACATCTGCATATGGCTTCTTGTATTAACACTCACTCTGACTGGGTAGTAAGATATTTATGCACACAACTTTAAACTGTAAGTAGTCCCATTGACTTAGCAGGGATTACTCATGTGCCTAAAGTTAGGCAGCGGCTTAAGTACCTTTTGAAATACAAATCTGAATTCAGTTCTGATAAATGAAAAGTAGCAGCAGCCAAACCAGCACCTCATTACAGTTTAAGACCATGTTGTTTTCTTACAACAAGGGATATTCCTTGTGTACTGGTATCTGCTGGAGTGAGCACATGGTTAGGAGGGAGCAGGCCATCAGGAAGCAAAAATTCTCTGGCAAAAACACCAAAATAAACCTCAAACTTCAGTGAAAATCAAGAAGGAAGCATAAAGAAGGCAGCCAGTACGGATTAGGGGKGGACCTGCTGGAGAGCAGCCCTGCAGAGAGGGACCTGGGTGTCATGGTGGACGACAAGTTGACCATGAGGCAGCAGTGTGCCCTGGTGGCCAAGAAGGCCAACGGGATCCTGGGGTGCATTAAGAAAAGCGTCTCCAGCAGGTCGAGGGAAGTGATCATCCCCCTCTACTCAGCCCTGGTGAGGCCACATCYGGAGTACTGCGTCCAGTTCTGGGCTCCCCAGTACAAGAGGGATGTGGAGCTGCTGGAGAGAGTCCAGCGCAGGGCTACCAGGATGATCAGGGGCCTGGAACATCTGCCCTRTGAGCAAAGGCTGAGRGAGCTGGGCCTGTTCAGCCTGGAGAAGAGAAGGCTGAGGGGGGACCTGATCAGYGTSTATAAATACCTCAAGGGAGGCAGTGAGGAGGAGGGGGSCRGCCTCTTTTCAGTGGTGGCCAGCGATAGGACTAGAGGAAACGGCCACAAGCTGAGGCACCAAAAGTTCCACAGGAACTTACGGAAGCATTTCTTGACAGTGAGGGTGCCAGAGCCCTGGCACAGGCTGCCCAGGGAGGTTGTGGAGTCTCCTTTGGAGATCTTTAAAACCCGCTTGGACGCAGCCCTGTGCCACGTGCTCTAGGTGACCCTGCGTGTTGGACTAGATGACCTCTGAGCTCCCTTCCAACCTTAAGCATTCTATGATTCTATAAAAATCTATACAAGTAACAGGGTTTAGTTGAGAAGTGGGTTTTTTTTGTCCCTTAGTTGCAGCTGAAATCGCTGTCTTCTGTTTTTGAATAGACACAGCTTCGTTCCCCAAAGTTCATGAGACTGCCTTCTCGTCCTCTTGTTAGGCGATTTAAGTAAGCCTTGTTGTTACTTATTTTAATAATAAATAAGATAACAAGAAATAAGAACAGTAAGAGAGTGGATACCAAGATACTGATGCAGAAGCTGCAGGCTGCTTCTCATCCACGAAACCAGGTGGCTGTGCACACAGGGAAGGAGAGCCCTTTTTGTGGCTGTGGCCCCCTTTGGCTGATACTCGCCTTCTCTGCATCAAAAAGGATATCAAGATTGCCAGACGTGAGCCCAGAAGTAAAGCAGATACGCAGGATAACAACAAGACTTCTCCACTCATACTGGCCCAAGAGCTCTCACACGTCTCCCCCCTCAGCAGCTTCTTTCTCCCTGTGCAGCTTAGTTTCCTCCTGGTGCTTCACTCCCGCACGGGCTGAGGGGAAGGGCTGTGCTGGCACCCAGATGTGCAGCTCCGCTGGGCACACCAGCAGCCACCCTGGCACCCCTTCCTGGGGAGCCGGACACCGAGGGGCGGCAGAAGTGACACCCAAAGGTGCATGTGGGGATCACGGGATCCCAGCGAGCCGGAGCCCCTTCCCGCCGCTCCGAGGGGAGCGCAGGAGCACAGCCACACTACCAGGCAAAGGAGCTTGCAAAGAAGGGGAGCACGAGAGGTTCGGGCGGTGAAACCCACGCGACAGCACCCTGTGCAACGTGGGCTGTTTACCTGCTGCCATCGGGCTTAGCCTGGCGGATAAGAGGAGCTTTAGGCTAAGGGCAAGGGTTTAATCTTGATATCCTTTTTAATGTGGAGAAGGCGAGTAGCAGCCAAGGGAGGCCGCAGCAACCAAAAAACCAGGGAGACAAAGAAAGGATGAGGGAATCACTCCAATTATGGGAGCTAAAGAAAAAACAAACCTGCTGTAGTATCAAATGAGATGAGTGATGTGAAATACGTCCACTGGTTATAAACTAACGCAAGAGGAAGAAGTGAACCCAGATTCCTTTCATCTGATAGCAGAATTTGTTGTCTTGATGTATGTAAAATCATTTTCAGAAGTGCATAATGAATGAAACTTTAATTCATTTGTCAAAAATGCTGAAGCTACAAAAGTGAAATACAGGATCCTAAATCAACCAGGCACTGATTWACTGATTGCACTTGCAGAAGATAATAAAAAATACAGCTGCTTGGTTGTCTCATGTATAAAGAAACATTCTCCCCAGTGGTTCTTAAATTTCCCTTAACCACAATTTTAAAATCAAACATGTACATGTACAAATCAGAACTCAGTGTGCTAGCACACATCAGCCTACATTTTATACATATATATATATGTAAACAAATCTGGAACATATATGACAACTATTCTTTTAGCTGATCTAACACGGGCCACATAGCAGGAGAGCTAATGCTTTCATGACCATGTAACACAAACACATAAACATCTTTACATACCATCTTTGTGCCATAAATAGGAAACTGAATGAAAGGGGGGTTGTTTTTTAACCCAGGCTGCTTGAAACACAGGTCTCATTATCTCCAGCATGAGGATTTTCAGGAATACAACTGCTGTTTCATCTTCATGCCAAAATCACCAGATTTCATCTCCTCTGGACACCCGCAAATCTCTCCCCAATAATTCAGTAAAAACCCACAGCAGAAAATGAAGCTTTTGTAAAGAAACTCATCTTCCTACTCCCAACTAAAAACATGTTTAAAACCTAGACCAAAAATAAAGGTCATGGTTACATCTTCCAAGTATCTTTAACTGATTTAATGAATTCAGTTATCCACATAGAACAAAATGAAAATCTAACGTCACAACCGAAGAATCTTTTAAGCATATTGGGTGAGAAATGATGCAAAGGTAACAGATAGATCACTGCAAACGTGCGGATTCCCGCTGCGATGCCGATGCCGGCTCGCTCGCAGGCCCTTTGCCTGGATGAGGCCTCGGCTCCTTCGCGGCCCGCCACAGGGAGGGAGGGACAGGGCCCCGTTTCGCACCAGCCCTMTGACCACCAAGGTCCTGTTTCTTAACCCAGCGTCTGTTCCGAAACAAAGATGCATTTCCTAAGATGCTCTGGCTTGAATATTTTCTTAAAATCTTGTATGTAAAACAAAGTTCCCTTCAAAATGCTTTCAAAGCAAACAGACATAGCTTCTATATGGGAAGCAGTTACTAAGCTACCAACTAGCTCAAAGGAATAATTTCTGSTATTCCACCCTTTGCCTCCAGCTCCCGAGATGCTGTTAACGGGCACCTCGAAGAGCTCCGTGTTTTGCAGCACCCCTTAGGAGGGACTGAAGTCCAGTTTAGTCCGTAACCAGCTATGAGTTTTATGTGGAGAGACACAAACATTTGCCAGCCAGGCTCAGTATTCTCAGGTGAAGAACCCTGTGCAACAAACCATGACAAGTATTTCTACTGTCACTGCTCAGTGCTTGCAAGCTACTTTTACTTGTTTTAATGAACAATATTCACAGTGTTTTAGTCTGTCTTACAACTGCATTTGCAGTTGTTGAAAATAGAGCTTTATGGGCTTAGGAAATGGGAGGTACATTGGGTTTTGGTGCMGTTCCAGCACTACTGGAAGCTCGTGATGGCTTCAACAACTTAAACACAACCTGGGCTGCTGAGTGCGAAGCTGCCCAGGAAGCTGTCTTGCATAACAGAAAAAAAGCTACGTAAATTATGGCAACCTAGTAGAACAAATTGAGAAATAGGCACATTTCTGAAGATTAATCAAATATAGACACTTCAGAGGCAGCCCCTGACACACAGGGTGGCACTTCCCCCGTAGTGTGGAACAGCCTGGGCTGCCTGGGACTGGCGGGCTCCTCAGCTACCTGCTTTAGAAATAAATCCACACTCGGATCACACAACCCAGAATCTCTGCTTTTATGGATTCACACATGCAGTACGGACAGGGAAGCCTTATTTTCCCTAAGAAACCTTAAACTCTGAGCAAAGGAAGGATGCTCATGAAGGCATTTAAAAACTAAACGAATGAATTACTCCAACCATAAATTTCAAAGAAATTCCAATATTCCCCCCAAAAGAGGTGCACATACTTTAAGAATTTGAATCTCTCTCTCCCAAACACCTGCAGTTCTACTCATACCTGTCCAGATGAACTTATGCCACAAACAAACCCACCAAATTTTGAAGTTTCTAAAACATTTTTGCTTTAAATAGGAAGCATATCAAAAGAAAAAAAACACCAAACTAATCTTCTGCACAAAGAACAGGAAGAAAACTGTCACGTTCTCTAGTTTGCATTTATAACAGGGCTCTATCTGGAGATTAGAATAGTTTCAAATCTATTGTAGTTCAGGATATGACGTGATAATTTAAGGGACGCAGATAATTTAGTCCACAATATCTATTCATATGAACAAAGAAAGCAAAAGAGGGAATACAAAAARCTTCCATACCTCACACTCCTGGATTATTCCTATTTTAAACAGATTCATCATTCATGAAGGCATACACAAAAAGGGGGTTTTTTTTGGTTTCTTTGAGTTTTTATCTGTAGTGCAACACTAACTTTTGTGGAAAATACATCAGATTTCATTTCCATCAGACTGACTTATTTTCTAAGTAATTTCTGAACTTTACRTGAAGCCTAATTTCAAAATGCTGGAAAGACATTTAACACTCTTCATTCATGTTATATGACAGTATTTTTTATTAACAATTAAGAAAACCTTGGAAATTTGAAGAAAAGCTGAAAAGGTCTGCCAAAATAAAAATAAACACGATAAAAYATTCAAAGCCAATTAATAAGTCCTCTTACCTTGTTCTTTTATCTGACGAATTTGCTTCACAGTTTCTTTCAAGATTGCACATTTGTCAGGTTTAAAGTTAAAGTTGTCAATGTCATTAAAATTTGCAAAAATCAGTTCTGCAAGTTCTTCTATGTATTTATTCTCTTGCTCTCGATTGCGTTTCTCAGTGCTTCTTTTGGGGCTGAAAGAGCAGATTAAGAACGTATTTGATGTCAGGCTGTTTGACTCCTGGACAGCTTGAAAATGACAGTAATGTGATAAAGGTACAAAGAACTSCCCCAACTACAAAAATATATCTTAAAAAAAAATGGCAAACAGAAAAGAGAATTTTATTAGTGAGTTACACTAGGCAAGCCTGCCTAGCTCTGCTACACAGAGCGAAAGGAAACAGCAAGCTGTCTCTCCCTAACTGTTTGAGGAATAAGGATGATTCRCAGTGACTTGTACATCATAAATGGTCTAACCTGGGTCCAAGCTGATCGGGATCCTTGCGTTTTCGTGACTCTGCCCTGGATGGGTCAGAGGAATTTTCTCCCATCCCACTCATCTTGAACACATATCAGCAACTGAAAAAGAAGAAAGTACAGGGAAAGAGTTATTCTGGAGAAACCATAAATATAGTTCTGCTTATACTTCTGAATCTCTTGTTCCATGAGAAGGTCAGTTTTTACTTTGCAAATCTGTCATTTGCTGAGGAGTTTGCTTGAAAGGTACCAACAAAAATACTGTATTTGTTACCTGAGAAAATACAAAACTCCCTCAGAAGAAAAAYTGTGATGGACAAATAAAGCCTCATCACCTCTTCCAGTGTTACCAGTTATGTAAGAAACAGGTAAGTGCATTTTGTGCCTGGGCTCATGAATTTTCATGGCAGTTTTGCACGGTTGAATGGGAAGAGCCAGAGGAAAATCCATAATGCCACACAGGATAAACACCASAGAGCTGAAACCCGGGAGATGAAACATGTATCCTGGGTACACGACAAAGTGACACATATCTCAGAATCCCAGAATGGCTGAGGTTGGAAGGGACCTCTAGAGGGCATCCAGTCCAACCCCCTGCTCCAGCAGGGACACCCAGAGCACGGGGCACAGGGCGGCATCCAGGTGGGTTTGCAAGATCTCCAGAGAAGGAGACTCCACAGCCTCCCTGGGCAGCCTGTGCCAGGGCTCTGGCACCCTCACAGTGAAGAAGTTCCTCCTCACATGGAGATGGAACTGCCCGTGTTGCAACTCATAGCCACTGCCCCTTGTCCTGTCACTGGTCACCATACAGCATTACAAACACAGTGTTTGCCCAAGTGCATGTACAATAATATAGTAGAAACAGAACATCTGTCACCAGCAGGTATCACTGAGGAACTGATAAATATTTTGTATGTTTAATCTACTTCATAAGGAAAATAACATGTCAGGTTGTCATGTGTTAAAACTAAAACTGCAGGTCCCTTCCTGCTGCTGGCTCCGCATGCGGGCCCCAAACTCACGTTCTGGGAAGCGCTTTGGCCAGTTATTGCTCTTATACAGGGCAGCCGAGGCTGAATTCACACRGCTGCACAAGATGCAGCTGCTGGAGGTTTGCTCCACTCCTTCATCCAGGTGGAAACTCCCTGGGTGCTTTTGATAAAGAGAGGGAGCAAGACTAACTTGCCGGTTGTTCCCATCCGTTTCCATATGACCTGTCAAACTGGCGGCCCAAGGCAGGCAGGCAGCAGAAAGACTGGGGTGTCTTTCCTGTTCCCTTGGGGGATTCACAAGGTCTTGGCAGGAATGRTGACAGCGCCTTTTGGAGTAATACCTGGGCTACCTTCTTCTCCATCCTGCTGTACATGAACACGTGCATGCACACATTATACACGTATATGGGGGGGTGCATGTACACACCGACACACACACACACACATACAGACACACACACACACACACACAGGCTGCTGATGCTTGGAGCACCAGCCCCGGTGCAGAAGGGGAAGGGTGGTGGGCGCTGCTGCCCGGGACCTCCTGCTCAGGGCACCAGAGCACCCTATTCAGGGCACCGAGCGCCCGCAGCCCTGGGGCCTGGCACCCAACACTCCTGCACCACCGCCCGCCTTCACCCACTCTGCCCTGCCAAGCACCTGCAGTGAGTCCTTATTTTACTTAAATACGTCATTTTTCAGCAGCCAGGGTGGGAAAACAGTGATCGTGATGAGAGCAGCGCAGCCCCGAGATCACGTAGAAGCCCAACGAGACTCYGACGGTGCCCTGAAGTTGAGAAGAAAGCTCAGGCTGGGGAGCCCCTTCTTTYCTCGGGCGTCCCCAACGACACGTGGGACACGCCGATCGGCTGAGCACCTTTCCAGAGAAGGGGAGCAGGGCCCTTCAAGCAGAGCCCCCACACCGGCACCCACAGGAGCTCCAGCCGGAGGCGAGCATTCATAGGGAGCTTCCCGCATCTCACCACCCCGGGAAAGCAAGCGGGAATCCATCACAGTTATCCCATCTAGTCTTCCCRTGTAACTTCAAAGAGGCCTTGGTTTTGGCAGGGCTGGGGCTCTGTGTGGGCTCCGGGACGCCCGGCTTGGCTGCTCCCGCACCGSCACGGAGGCGGCTCAGCGGGACGCGCCGCGAGGACGCGCTGACCCGCACCCGCCAACAGCTCCGGGGCTTCRTCCTGCGGCGCTCAGGGGCAAAACACAAGACCCCCAGTTGGAAACCAGGACCTCCTCCCCATGTTAAAGTTAGCAGAACTTCTGCTAAGCAAACAGCTTCTGTTTTATTTGCCCTTACAAACCATTAAACCTGTTTCTCAGCAGCATAATCAGTTTGTTCCTAGAATGAGTTACTGGGGTTTTTACTCATCACAAAGTTTCTCTGGAAATCCACCGCCCGCTCCACTCATTTTCTCTTCTCCCAATATTCACAATAACAACAACAACAACAACAACAACAACAACAACTCAACAGCTTGCAGATCTGTCCCGTAAGCTCTACAGTTGCTGTGTTTTGGGCGCCTGTCCCTGCAGAGCTCGGGAGGGAGGAAGGAGCTTTGGGGTGCTCCGAGGGCTCTCTAGGGAAGCCTCTCCCAAGCCAGGCCCAAAGCTGCTCCGTGCTCTCCAGCAAGGGCACTCCGAGGCAAAGGGATGCAGGCCAGGCACTCACTTCCCGAAGCGCTGTGCTCGGTGGGACGCACAGAGCCCTGCTGTTCCCTCGCGGCTCCGAAACCCTCATGCTCTGAGCCCGGCGGCTGACTGACAAGCCAGGGGCTCCAAAGTTTGGGCTCAGTTAAACCATCCCCTCGAGGGCAGCACCGCAGATCAGAAAGCGGCGCTYGCCCTGCTCCTCTGATCCTTTTCTGCCTCTCTTTAGGACTCTCTAGAAAGAAGAAAGATAGAAAATACTGGACAGGTATGTTCATCTAGCACTTCAAAAACAGCAAAAATGTAATACGTGCTCCATCACAGGACCTCTGAAACTGAATTTGGCCACCAAATCAAGAAGTGGGTAAGGCTGACTCAGTCTGGCATGGAATAGAAAAGGGACTAACCAAACCAGGAGTTAATAAAACCCAGAAATGGCAGTAATTACTGAATTGTGAAGAAAGGAATATTTCTGTTAACGAACTAATGGCATTATGGCACATAATAAAATCAGCCTGCCTTCACTTGCAAGAAAATGCCTTCCAAAGACAGATGAGAATAAACGTCTTCCAGGGTGAGCCAGCCTGCCAGGATCAGGCGCTGCCCTCGCTGTCGGGAAGCTGCCTGGGAGCTGCAGCACATTCCACATCAGAAACAGAGCCCCACACCCCGGCACCAGTGGTTTGCCTGCGGTGCTGCTAGCAGATTTGTCATTGCAATATAGATTTTTTTCCCAACTTGTCCTAAAAAAAATAAAAAAAGTACAACTAAATAGGAACTTGCTGACTTATGATCAACACTGATGCCTGAGCTTCAAAAGTTCATGTGTTCATGTGCATTTCAGCCTCATTTCAACTGTTAAATGTAAATCACAAAAGCAGAAAATGAAGTGAACACACTCGCAGGGAGCGGGTGCTGGCAGCTGCAGCCACCAAAACCCTGCTGGTTTCTACCTGATCTCGGGAGGTTTCAGAGACAGGGCTGGAAAGAGGTTTCAGTTAATTCTTTCTTGTTATCAGCAGCAAAACAACCACTGGCGCTCTCATTGTGCCACTGCATCCTCCTTCACACCCTCCRCCAGAAACTCCTCTCTGCTAGAGTATACACAGAGACTTTTTAGCCTAATTATAAAGCAATAGGAAACTCGATATTTTTGCAAGACATTCTTCTTCCAAGAGAGAAAAAAAAAAAAAAGGAATGTAAGCCGAAAATAAAATACAAGGGAGGGGAGAAAATGTATAAGAAAAAGAGAGGCCTTGTAAAGGAGGAGACAGAGGGGAAAAAAACCTATGGCAGGAATCAACTGCACGGATTTGTGGAGGCTCCTCTACCCCTCAAATACCCAGGAGAAACCCGGCCCTGGAGAAACCCTTTGAGCAGGGATYGGCAGCGCCACGGCAGCCAGTTAATCACCAGAGCTAAGGCACAGGAACATAAYGGGCATTTTCTCTCTTATCAGCGCAGGCCATCTTCCAAAGAGGGCCTGTTAAACTGTCAGATTTACTACAAGCCTGACAAACGGAGGCAAAGAGTAAGTGCGGATCACACCTTCCTGGCGGCCACTTCAGCCTGAAGGGAACAAGCCAGGGGCAGAGCGGCCTGTGATGGTGGCAGCGGTGGCAGCGGCGGCAGCGGGATCGTCGTCATCATCATCATCATCATCATCATCATCAGCAGCAGCAGCAGCAGCAGCAGCAGCAGCAGCAGCAGCAGTAGCAGCAGTTACAGCAGCAGTGGCAGCAGCAGCGGCAGCAGCAGCAGTGACAGCAGCGACAGCAGTGGCAGCAGCAGCAGTGACAGCAGCGACAGCAGTGGCAGCAGCAGCAGTGGCAGCAGCAGCGGCAGCAGCAGCAGCAGCAGCAGCGACAGCAGTGGCAGCAGCAGCAGTGGCAGCAGAGCACCAGGAGCTGCTGAGCACGGGAGCTGCTCGGAGTTATTTGAGGAATCCCCGGAGCGCTGAGCAGAGCCTTGAGGACTTCCCAGGCCTCAGGAGGCCCTGGGGGACGGGGTAGGACGCCCGGGCAGAGGCTGCCGGGGCCTCGGGACACCCTTTGCTGCTGCGAACGGCTGCARCCTCGGAGCAGACCTGGACACGGCATCCGTGGCCGGCTCTGCGTTCCCGTGCGCTCTGACTCGCTTTCCCCTTCTCCCTGCACACCTTGTGGGAACAAGCCACGCGTCCCACAGCCCACACAGGGCCCTCGTCACCGCAGGGCTCGCGCGGTCGGGATGCACCCGCGCCCCACACTCCCCTCCCGCACAAGCAGGACCCACCGCCCCGGCGGTGCAGCCGCCAGCGCCACCCCACACTCGAAGCACAAACACACACTCACGGACATTGCCACCAAATTCCCATTCTCAAGGACACATGAAACTGCCTGCAATGACTGCCACCTCGCAGGGGCCACATCGTATAAAATGGAAATGTAAAAACATAACCTTCCTATA